TTTTACTATATCGCGTCTCCGCATCTGTCATGGTCTTACTTGTGTAGAAGATTGGATATTGCCTCTTTCCTTCGTTTCTAATCAATGCTGCACTTGTCGATGAATTAGAAATTGCCAAGTACATAATAAGAACCTCCCTGGGTTTTGGAGCGGATAAAATGGGTAGTTCAGCCATGTAACCTTTCAACCGACTGAGGGCCTCTTGCTGCTGAGGTCCCCATATATCTTTATTCTTGGATCGTATAGCATCGAAGAATAGTTTGCACTTATCTGACAATCGGGATATAAATCGGCTGAGTGTTGCGATCCGACCAGTAAGTACCTGCACCTCCTTGCGATTTTTTGGTTCCTGATTCTGGATGAGGGCTTTAGCCTGAGCTGGACTTACCTCTATCCCTCTTTTATTCACTATGTGTAATACCCCGATAATTTTAAAGGATTTATTAATTAGGATTAATTATTTTATTTTATTTTTCAATGATTTATTTTATTTTATTGAGTGCTAGATTAATTATCTTATTTTAATTAAGTTATATTTCGTGATTATGTATGATAATTGATTGTTTGTGTGGTTGATTATTGATTGAATTATTGGTGTGCTGATTTTATTGGTATTGTATGACTTAGTTGTAAATTCTTGTTTGTTTATGTGCTTCATGTAATTAGTTATTTTAATTTCTGTATTTAATTAATTATCTTATTTATTTAAATTAATTGGATTGGGCTTAAGGAAAGTTGGACCAAAAGATGTGGTCTTGGGCTTGTATGAAACCTTATTGGGTTAATTAATGAAGGTCCGTGGTTATTTAATTATTTAAATGATCACTTTTGTATCAATTATATATATATATATATATATATATATATATATATATATATAATTATATATAAATATAATTAATTAATAATTGTTATGGAAAGATATATATATAGATATATATTTATTGATATTTATAAGTATATATGATTTAATTAACTAATGAGTTAATTATGGAAGGAATATATATTTATATATAATATATGTTTATAGATATAAATTATTTAAAGGTTATTTCTTTAATTCATAATACTAGTTGGAATAGGATTTATAAGTATATATGATTTAATTAACTAATGAGTTAATTATGGAAGGAATATATATTTATATATAATATATGTTTATAGATATAAATTATTTAAAGGTTATTTCTTTAATTCATAATACTAGTTGGAATAGGATTTATAAGTATATATGATTTAATTAACTAATGAGTTAATTATGGAAGGAATATATATTTATATATAATATATGTTTATAGATATAAATTATTTAAAGGTTATTATTTTAATTCATAATACTAGTTGGAATAGGATTTGGAATTTAAGGTGTATAAAAATACACATAAGGCTTTAGGGTTAAAGGTTTTACACGTTAGAAAAATAAAACAGACAGAGAGAGAGGAAGAAGAAGGGCTGACAAGGAGGAGGTCGGATCTGAAAAGGAGGACGTCGGAATTGGAAGAGATAATTAAAGCTTAAAGCGTCGGTTTCGTTTCGAAACCTTCAGGCGAGTTTTCTCTAACTTTCCTCTTAGAACTCATAAGGATTTCACCTGAGTATCAAGGCTTTAATTAAATTTATTTGTTTAAAAATTATGGTTAGATCGAAATAATTAAAAAGTATAAACTATTATATTTGATTTTTAGATTATTGGATTTTAATTGATATATATAGGTGTTATGTATATTTTAAAATCAATCTATAGGTGGATTTGTGACCCAAGAGAGTTAATTATGGTTTCTTTATTTTCTAGAATTGTTCTGTAATTTTCTGGAATTTTTCGGATATTTTTAGGAATTTATTAGGATTTATTTTCCTATTATTTGTTAGGAAAATAATTATATATATATATATATATATATATATACTAGGTAACTGGGAGCGGCGGCACAATAAAGAATTGATCCAGTGCGGCGCGGTGTAGGATAATAGGGTGTATACGCCAATTAGGGCCATTTGATTAATTAAACTTATGTGAATTGATATGGTGCATCGCGGCGCATAAAACTTTGGTGCGCATGTGTATCTGGACCATAGAAGTGGTCTGGTCAACTATGGGATTATTTGGTGTATTGCAGACCATGAGAAGATGGTGCACTCGCTGATCTGGACCTTAGATCTATTATAGTTAATAGAAAATAATCTAGTGTGAGCGTGTTCATTTGCGCACTCATTTATGACCATTGGATGCGGCATAAAGGAAGTGATGGATTCAGTGTGGTGAGCTCACAGTAGTGTTTGAGCTTAGCCAATTATTTTGTCTGTTTGTGACATAAAATTAAAACGGTCATAACTTAGTCATCTTAAATCGAAATTGGGTCATTCTTGAGCTCAAATTCAAGGATTTTTCGTCTTCTTTCCAATGGTACCAATTTCATTATCAGATTCCCATCCTACTAGGAGATATTTATGTTTTAGTGAGAAAGTGTCGGAAAACTATTTAAACCAATATGGAGTATTTAAAGGAAACTATTTCTGACATATTTAGTTGCACTAATTTGTGTAAATATAATAAATTAATAATTTGTTATGGAAGGAAGTGTGTGTGTGTATATATATATATATATATATATATATATAATTATTTATATATGGGTATATATAGTTTAATTTGTCTATGAGTTGTATGGAAGGATGAATATATATATATATATATATATATATGTATGTATGTATGTATGTATATTGATTTTAAATAATCAAGGATTATTAAAGAAGGTGTTAAACACATATATACATTAAATAACATATGTGTAGGTATATATATATATAAATCATTGAAGATGATTAATATTATCATTCTTATTTGGCATATCTTAATAGGCTGGTTGTTAAATTAATGATATGCGTATAATATGCATGTGATGGCTATGTATGATTTAGCGTGTTGTTAATTTTAAAGTTAATTCATGGTTAAAGTGTGGGCATGGATGAATTGTCAAATGATTAAATATATTACCTAAATATTTGTATGAATAGAATACATATATGGAAAGTATGGATGAATTGCTAATTAAATGTATGAATAAATATACCTGTGGAGGCATGGTTGAATTGCCAATGTATAAATATACATACACGGAGGCATGGTTGAATTGCCAATGTATAAATAAATATACTTATGGATGCATGGTTGAATTACCAATATATAAATAAAAATATTTACAATGGCATGGTTGATTTGCCAAAGCATAATTACGTTGTTATGTGTTAGATGATTAAAATATCATCTATGGTTGTTGTATGTATGGATTGGATTAGGGTTAGATATTCTTAAATGAGAATAGTTTAGTACTTACTGGTTAGTGTATTATTTTCCATTAATAAAATAATATTGGGGAAGACGTGGATGATTTGTCAAAACTTGGATTTTGGATATGTGATTTAAACAATTTAAATCATCATCGGGTTGGGATTAAATAGAGTATTTCTTTTATTATAATTTGTTGTTTAAATGATTAGACAACTGATTAGGATGGGATTAAGGTCAAAGGAGTTTTTATAAAATGAAATGGTAGATTGGTCTAGGTATGAATATTATTTTAATAATTATTTAATAGGTATGGAAATTTAATAAACCTATTAATGGATGTGATTAGTATAGTATATATAATTATATATAGACATGTATATCGTGCTTTATTAAAGTTAAAACTTTATTAGGTTTGGTTTTGATCAGAGATGATCTGCTTATTGGTTTTCAGAGGCCTGGTAGAGTGAACTTGCTCGTAGGGTTTAACCCACGATTTATTTTTCAGGTTATTAGAGGTTTCAGTCTCGAGGTTGAGGATCCGCAGCTGGGAGACTGTCATTCGTCTATTCATCTTGTGTACTTTTAAATAGTATTGGATTATTGGATAATGTTTAAGGGGTCCTTGAGTTATGGGATTTCCGAATTGTAATTGTTGGAGAATCATTAAGTAATATTTATTTATTAGTTTTCTTCAGCGGTTTATTTATTCTTTATTATTCATCTTTGTATTCTGTGCTTGTTAAATACTTAAATTGTTTTGATATCCCTTGATTTTGTGCGCGGACTTGATCAATCCGTGTTCCAAAATTAGGGGGTATCACACTATGTGGCCGAGGAATTGACCTGATGATACCGCGAATGAGCACTTTGAGGGATTCAACTTCATGTTGTACTTCTTCAAAGTATTGAAAACTTCCTGTAGATGCTTCGGATGATCTTCTTTCATCACACTTTTAACCACCATGTCATCTATATATGCTTCAACTGTCTTTCCCAGCAGATTATCGAATATCTTGTCGACAAGGCGTTGATAAGTAGCTCCAACATTCTTCAGTCCGAAGGGCATGACCCTGTAACAATAAGTCCCCTTTTCTGTAATAAAAGCCGTTTTTTCTTCATCTTCGGGGTCCATAGGAATCTGATTGTATCCCGAATATGCATCTAGGAATGTCAACCTCTCGTAGCCGGTGGTAGCATCAACCATCTGGTCTATCTTGGGCAGAGGGTAGCTATCTTTAAGGCAGGCTTTGTTGAGGTTGGTATAATCTACACAAACCCTCCACTTTCCATTCTTCTTTTGTACGACTACCACGTTCGACAACCACTGCGGATATTGTACTTCTCGAATGAAACCTGCTTGCAATAATTTGTTTACTTCTTCAGCTATAATGTGATTGCGTTCAGGGGCAAACCTTCGGTGTTTCTGCTTGACCGGTTTGAACTCCGGATCCACCTTTAGGCTATAATAGGAAACTGTGGGATCGATCCCTACCATGTCCGAGTGATCCCATGCAAAGGCATCTGCATTGCTCTGGATGACATCAATTAATGCTTCCTTTTCTTTTGATGTAGAAGAAGAGCCTAGATAAGTAACCTTCTGAGGGTCGCCGAAGATAACTTCCACGGCTTCGAGGGTCTCCTCGGTGGATTTCGCAATTTCCTCTTCCTCATTTCCCTTAAGATACTTGGGCAGTGGGCTCTGTAATTGCTATTTGGGTCCAGTTTTGGAAGCCTCACCTGGTTGCTGTTGAGTCGACATCCTTTTCGCCTCAACCTGTGTCAGCATATAGCATTCCTTCGCTGTGACTTGATCGCCCCACAGATTAATTACTTCTTTCCCGTCTAGAGATAAACACCGCATCACCTGGTGGAGGGTGGACGGAACTCCTTTCATCCGATGTATCCAACCTTTTCCCATGATGAGATTGTAAGAATGATGAATTTCTGTTAAAACAAAGTTCTCCTTCAGAGTCCTCTTCGCCGCGGTTACGGACAAGTCTATTACTCCAAGGGGATCTACTCTTGTGCCATCGAATCCCATCAACGGGCTAGAGGTAGGTCGAATAGATGATGACATGATCTCTTAACTGATCAAAGACCGTCTTTGTGATTATGTTAGCGCTACTTCTTGAATCTACCAAAACCCTCCTGATCATACAATTGGCCACTAAAAGACTAATGACCAATGGATCCTCGTGGGGGAGTTGCACTCTGGATAGGTCGCCATCTCTGAATCCAATATTAATGCTACCATAATTGATAGCATTGACCAAGGATATCTTCCTGAGTTTGTGGGTCGCCCTCAATCTGGACCTGTACACCTTCTCGGACTCCTGATCATCTTCAGACCTACCATGTATTGCATGGATGACTTTTACTTGCGTACCTTCTACCTTGCGAGGATAGACCTCGCGGGGCTTTGCATGCTCCTTTGTCATGAGGTAATCCGTCAACTCACCTCTGGCGATCATATTCTCCACTTGTCGCCTGAGGGATCGGCAATCGTTGGTTGAATGCCCATAATCTCGATGATGAGCGCAATGCTTGCTTTTGTCCCTTTGTTCCAGGGGTTGCTTTATTGGCTGCGGAATTGTGAACTTCGTCTTATTCTCTTGGAAGAGCCGAGCCAAGGTAGTTCGGAGAGGTGTAAACCCTTCCTCTACCCTTTGCCTTTTTTCAGGTGCCTGAAATGTTGGCTTTTTTGAATCTTTGGAGTTGGGATTCTTTCTCGAGGCTTGTTTTTCACTGTTACGAGGGTAGCGTGTTGCGCTTGGTGGGCTATATTTTCCTCAAGCCGAATGTAGATCTGGGCTCTGGCATTGAGAGTCTGCATGTTGGGAGGAGAATACTTGAGTAGGGAAGTGTGGAACTTCGTCCCCTGAATCATTGCAAGTTTAAATGTCTCTATAGCAGTTGCGGGATGACAATCCGCTATTTCTGATGCCTCCATGTTGAATCTTGATAAGAAATCCTGCAATGTTTCCCCCCTTTTCTGCCTTACGGTGAAGAGGCTGGCAATGCTTTTCTTTTGCTTTTTATTTCCGCAATACTGTGCCAGGAACATGGTGCATAGAGTTACGTAATTTGGGATGGATTTATGCGGTCTATTCCTGAACCACTCTAGTGCTGCTCCTATCAAACTGGTAGGAAAAACTCTGCACATCCAAGGGTCATTACGATCATCCAAAGCCATCTTTTGAGCATAATGATCTAGGTGCCGAGAAGGATCCCCTGTTCCATCAAACTGGGTAAGGCATGGTGAATTTCTTGGGCCTCTCTACCAGATACACATCGTCAGTGAAAGGAGTTTTGATCAAAGAATTTTTGTGTTCTCTAGCCATCTCGGCAGGTGTTTGAATCTTCAGGATTCTCTTCTCGTCAAAGGCATCCTGAACACCTGCACCATCTGGGATTCCATTGGACCACACCGTAAGCTTATGGCTGGATTCGACTTGCTCATCCTTCGTGCGACGAGGGACGTTATCTGAAGCCACAGCCTCGGGTCTTGCCTTCCGTTGCTGCTGAACCTCATTCGGCTGAACCTCATTGGGTCGTGCCCCATTAGGTGGAACCCCATCAGGCAGAAGTCTAGTAATCGGAGGAATATTCTGACTAGGGGGTGTTGCTGTGTCACCCACTGGTGGCTGCGGTGCCAACTGGGCCAGCGTTGTTTACAGAGCGTTATTCTGCTGTTGAAGCAAGGCGATCTAAGCTACGCTTGCTTCGTTTGCCTGACGAAGTACGTCAAATTGGTGCAGAAACTCTTCACGCATCTTTTGCATTAACTCCGTCTGTTGATCTGCCGAAGATCCTCTGTTCGACATTCTGGACGGTTAGCTACAGGATTCACTTGTGAAACAAAAACAAGAATGGGAATATATTTGCACACGATTCACATAGACGACTCCAAAGTGTAGGTGCAAAATTTCACTCAACCGATAATGATTGAGAAAAATAAAACAACTCACTCAAAAAGTAAAAATAAATAAGAACAGTGTATAGAGAAGCGTATAATTGTTTGGATCCCTTTATTGGAGGTCTGGGCCTCTATTTATATACAAAAGTTAGAAGAATTATGGTAGGACTTGCGTTGCTTGTCCTCTAATTCTTTCCATATATCAATTTCTTTACAAATAGAATTATTTCCTCTTTATAATTCTTTCCTTTCTAGATTTTCCTTACACAGAACTTACCTCCTTTGATGAATCCTTTTCCTTGTAGGACCGGTTCCTTCTTTAAATGGACTTGGGCCGTATCTAACTTGGTACACATGCCTGCTGGCGTCTTGATTCGAGCTTTAGTAAAGCCCGTAGTTAGATAGCGGTAGTTTTGGGCTAATGACCAACTCAACTCGGGCTTCTGACGGAATGGGCTTTGACCTTTATTAAAGATAAAGTTATGACGTGGATTGCTCTTAGTGGAGGGAGATTTTTCCCTCCACAGGTGACAAATTAGAATTTTTCTAATCCGTTGAAAACGGATCGGATTAGGATTCCTAATCCGTTTTTCGATCCCATTTGTTACCACCCCTGGTTGAAAGAGTGAGTAAATTTATTTCTCATAACAAAGTAAACAAGGGGTAAAATTTGGTTAATTGGATATTTATTTCAAAATTTTGGAACTACAGAGACGAGGATGTAATTATCATGTTTTTTCTTTTCAAAAGTGCTAAAGTTTGAGGGTGTAGGGATAAAGTTTAAAAATCCTCCAACAAATCTATTTTTATAATTACTTTGTATTCTTACAATGAGTGGTTTTAGTAATATTAATTTTCAAAATTAACCATAGAGAGAGTGGTTTTTAGTATTTAGAAAGCTGGTAAGTGTAATGGGTAGACACTTGTCTATTTATCCAAAAGGTTAAATTCTCCATACTAACCCATTTATACCAAATCACTTTTCCATCCAAATCCGATGTGGGACAAATATTCCCTTGTAAAATTCCCCCACCCGAACTCTTTGTGGCTTTCGGGTTAGGCGTGCCAGGGACTGGGTCTAGTTCTGATACCAATTATAAGACGCTTACCCATTTACTCAAAAGTTTAAGTTGTTGGGTAATACTGCATACCCACCCATTTATACCCAATCACTCTCCCTTTTGAATTCGATGTGGGACAAATATCCTATATAATCTCTTTTAAGTATTTTATTGCAACTTGAAAGGGATAACTAAGTATTAGCTAGAACGAAATTCGTTGGAGTTTTAAAATTCCGGAACTAATTATAGCTGGTTCCTTCAGTCAAATTGACTAACAACTTTTTGTTTTACATTGATCTGAATGTTTCATAGAATCTTACTCTAAAGAAGTTTCTGAGAAGCTTACAATTCACAATTTATATTTATTACATTTACAATCCATTATATTAGGCAAGATTTTTATACAAATTGAAGAGAAAATTATGCATATTTAAGTAACAAAATCATACAAAACAAAACAAATTCAAAAGCGTTCTTGTTTTTTAGTATATCCCTCATTTCCTCTTACACTGATTTAGCATATATTATTAAGCAATTTTTAATAAGTCAAATTAGTTATATTGAAATTAAGCCCGTCTTTTTATTTTTATTATTATTATTTTTTTTTGAGGGGGGGGTGGGGGTGTAAATTAGAAAGTCCATCTTGTAAAAATTTAAAATTAAACTTGTTTTTGAATTAGGAACTTGAACTATTTTTAGTTAGGTTTCCCCAAAAATATATATATATATATATTTTTAGGGAAACCTAACTAAAAATAGTTCAAGTTCCTAATTCAAAAACAAGTTTAATTTTAAATTTTTACAAGATGGACTTTCTAATTTACACCCCCATATATATATATATATATATATATATATATATATATATATATATATATATATATATATATAGTCCTGATCTCTTGCTCTCCATGGAGTAAGAAAATTAATTCACACTTTCTATATAGATCGTTAGATTAAATCTAACGGTCATTTTTCAAACCCACCTATGACCTTCCTTTTTAACTGAAAACCACTCTCACCCTATTTTTAGTTTTTATATTTAATTTTACCATTATCACTTATTGTAACAATAAAAGGTAATTATCAACTCTTTCTCTATTTCTTTCGTGCATGGCTGAATTTGAATCCATAGACAAAAGTGACAAATGATTTCTTTCTATGAATAAGGTTGTGAAAAATGTTTCATCCATTTTTTTTAGGTTACCATGTTGCTTCTGAGGTGAATTCTACAGTCTCACCATAGTTAGTACATCATCATCATCCAATAATCAAACTCACAAATTTACAGATTCAATAAAGAATTTCACCAAATGCCCCACTTTAAATTGAAATAGAAAGAATTTTTGTTCAAACTTTAAATGAAATTTTCTTCAATTTCAATTCTAATTAATCATTTCGATATTCCAAAATGCAATATTACAGTATATTTGTTGGTAAATTTACTTATACTAGAGAAGTATATTATAATTGCAAAATTTATGTTTCTTAGGAAAATGCTATAATATCATACTGTTGTTGCAAAATTGATATTTCTTAGAAAAATGCTATAATATCATACTGTTGTTGCAAAATTGATATTTCTTAGAAAATTTTTATAATATTATACTGTTGTTGCAAAATTGAAAGATACGGGTATTGTTTTTCTTTCAAAGAAACATATAAATAAAAACAAATTTTTAGTAAAATATACTGGTATTATTATTTTTTTTCAAAGGTTTCTATTTTTATTTTGATAATTACCTTTTATTGTTACAGTAAGTGATAATGGTAAAATTAAATATAGAAACTAAAAATAAGGTGAGAGTGATTTTGTGTTAAAAGTAAAGGCCATAGGTGGGTTTGAAAAATGATCGTTAGATTTAATCTAATGGTCTATATTAAAAGTGTGTATTAATTTTCTTGCTCCATAGGGAGCAAGAGATCAGGACTATATATATATATATTATAATGTGTGGATATTGATCATTGTCATGTATATGCAATAAAAGGAAAATGGAAAAGATATTCTATTTGGGTTCTTTTCGCACCTTCTTAGAAATTATGATTGTTCATTAAAGAAAAACAACTAATAAAGAGCTTGAAACAAGAAAATCAAAGATTAAAATCCTCTCTACTTTTAAAAATACATTTTGTATAAAACTCTCGCAACTATACAATTTGTCGTTATATAATGATGAAAATTTCCTTTAATATATAAAAAAAAAAATTAAATTTCTTAAATTTATATTAAGGGCCATTTTTGTCATTATAACAAGCATGTAATTTGCAAAATTTTCTAGTTCTATTTTAAAAAAAATAAAAAATAAAAAAATTCAAAATGAAAATCTTTCTTAAACTTGTAATAAAGGCCTTTTTGTCACTATAATACCACTTTGAGTTTTATATAAAAGAATTTTACAAAGGTTTCATGTCAAGAAAGTAGACGAGAGTTTTATATAATTTGGCCTTAAAGAGATGGTGTCCAATCATTAGAGAGAAAGTGAGAGACTAAATTGGAGGCTAAAGGAATAAAAGTCAGACATAGTTTTAGAATTTTAAATTTCTCTATATACAGAATAAGAATATAAAATAACTTACATTATAAAATTTTATTTTAATTAATTATAAGACAAAAATTGATTATATATGTTGAGGGTGAAATCCACACGGTTTGATACGACATCGTTTTTCTGCAAAAAAGCGAGTAGAAGATCGATAAACCTTGACGGTTCCAGTATGGTGCCTGCCAAGAGCTCTCCAACAATCAAGTAAGTCACCGAAGGTCTAAAAAAAGGGCAGTGATTTAATAATAATTTTTTGTCGTACCTTTATTGACTAGTAGGATCTCATTCTTATAGTCGCTCTCCCTCAGTTCATTTGCAGGATCAGATATGATTCGCTTGTGCGAGATCAGATGAGATCCGCTTGTGCGAGATCAGAGGAGATCTGTTTGTTGCCAGATTTGTTAGGGATATGATTTAACCCTTTCGACTTCCTCAAATTGTGCCAAGGTTATCCTTACCCTGTTGAACCACGTCATATTTCATTATCCTTGATAATGAAATATTATCATTCTTATCCAATGGAAATATCATCGTCCAAAAGTCGAAGAGGTCTAGCGGCTGGTCAACAATTAGTTGCCTCTATCGTTAGGTCAAGGTAGGCTAGGTTTATTTTTCCCTATTAGTTACCCCTCATTCCCAAGCTTGCTCATCTAGCTCTGGGAATGTGATT